CAGCACCAACAACTGAAGAGTCCCTTAGGGCTGGAGTTTGTCATTTCGCTGACATCGTTTATCGACGGCGGTGGTGATAGTGGCCCTTTGTTGCGCATTGAAGCAGCATGTCCGATAGATAGGGTAGGAATATCAGAAGTACAAGTGTAAAAACGCTGTTCCATTGGTAGGATTCAAGGCGGCATCCGTCGACTGTTCGATTTTGTAAATCCTTCAAGGACATTAAGCCGCGTTTTCATGTTCATACATTGGCTTAAAGCAAAAAAATCCCCGCTATCTGCTTTACTCTCCGTCCCACCTCCCTATACCAGCTATTTTCACAGAGATATATAAATGCGAAGCACCTGCTGTCCACCACTGCTTCGTATCATTCTTCTATCACCTGCCAATTACTATGTCTACCTATACTCTCCGCCATTTTCCAATCCAAGCCCGTCCTGAAACCTGCCGTGCATTGCTAAGTTACGATGGTGGGGATTATACCAGCGAACACCCTGCCTGGCCGATGGAAAAGTCAAAGCAACCGTTTGGGAAGGTTCCTGTGCTGATTGAGACCGATGCATCGGGAAATGTATTCCAACTCAGCGATTCTATGGCGATTGAGCACTACTTGGCAACAAAGAAAGGTTTGATGGTTGATTCCAGTCCGCAGGACCGCGCCCGCCAGGATGAGCTGCGCAGCCAGATCCTAGACATTTTTCTTTTCGCACCGCAGTATCGTTTTGCCACTGAGGAGGCCCGCAAGACTATCAAAGAGCAGTATGTTACTCAAGCCAAGTTCTTTATCGATTTCCATGAGAGCCACCTCAAGAACAACGGCTCCAACGGGTACTATTTTGGCAGCAAGATCACCTATGTGGATATCGCACTTGTGGCTACCATGAGAGCGCTGCGTAGGTTCGGCGATGAAAGCATGCCAGGGATGACCGGATATCTTTCACCAGAGAGGGCACCCCTGATCAACAAGGTTCTTGATGTGGTGGGCAATGATCCGAAGCTTGCAAAGTTCTTTAGTGAGCCTCGTGTCAAGCCTGCCGTTCTGTAGCATGTGTACTTTGTATTGGTTGACGATAATAGGAAGCTCGCAACAAGCGGTGCTGACATGTCTGACAAATACGGTAGAGCGTGCCTGCAAGCTGTTAATGGTATGTTTGGCCTTAGTACGCCCAACTGGTGAAGCATGAGATCATCTAGCAGCATACCAATTAGTAAGCATGTGCACATGGGAGCCCCTTAGTTTTTGATTTGCATGTACATCCGCAGCACCATTGTCTGTACACAATTATTTGGCGGTAATAGGTATTTCCGCTCGCTGCATACCTCACACTCATGGCTCCCCTACTCCAGCCTTAGCAAAGGGTCTGCCACATATAAATGCGGCTCATTCTAACAAGCAAACGCAGTGCTAGCATACCAGTATTCTTCGAACTCACCATTATGTCTACCTACGTTCTTCGCTATTTCCCCATCAAGGCTCGTGCTGAGACCTGCCGCGCTCTCCTCAGCTACAGCGGCGCCTCCTACACTAACGAAGCCCCCGCATGGCCCCAGGAAAAGTCCAACCAGCCGTTTGGCAAGCTTCCTGTACTGATTGAGACTGACGAGTCTGGTGCCACCTTCAAACTCAGCGATTCTCTGGCCATCGAGCACTATCTAGCGACCAAGTATGGATTGATGGTCGATTCCAGCCCACAGGACCGCGCCTGCCAGGACGAACTGCGTCACCAGATCAAGGATATCTATGAGTTTATCCCGCAGTACCGCTTTGGTAACGAGGATACCCGCGCATCGGTCAAGGAAAAGCTTGATGTCCAGATGAAATACTTTATCGAGTATCACGAGAACCACCTCAAGAACAACGGCTCCAACGGTCATTATTTTGGTGACAAGACAACCTACGTGGATATTGCCTTGGTTGCCAGTATGCGTGCGGTACGTGAGTTTGGAGCCAGCATCATACCTGGTCTGGCCGACTGGCTATCACCAGACAATGCACCGCTGATCAACAAGGTCATCGAGGTTGTTGGTGCAGACCCCAAAGCTAGCTAAATATTTTAACGAGTAGGCGTTGCAAAAGAAAAGGGAGAGGGGCAATAAAAAGGTTGACCAAACAAAAATCTCTCCGACCGGGAATTGAACCCGGGTCTCCAATGTGACAGACTGGTGTACTCGCCACTATACTATCGGAGATCTGATGATCGATTTCTGAAAGTGTCATGTCGTAATCGGTCCACGGTTGGACCACGACAATGGTTACACATCAAGGGGTTTTATTTGTCTTCCTTTTTTTCTTTTACTTCTCTTCTCTTCTTCGTCACATGCCGCTGTTCCGCTATCAGGACGGACTGCCCCTGACTATCGCCGGTCAAGTTGTCGCCCACGAATGGATTCGCGGCGATGTACCTGGCTCGCGACGTCCACCAACAGATGGCCGCTGATGTGTATACATCGGGTCTATACGGAAATGGGAACACTGTCCCGTGGTCGCCCGGCAGCCGATAGCAGCAAGTAGCATACTCCGTTTGCCGAAGTCCATCCCGCCGAACGTGTATAAATACAGCCATGAGCAGTGAGCAACTTTTAGTTTTATTGTCTACTTTTTAGTATATGATCTCGTTAAGGAACAGTTCACTGAGTTATATTTCTATTTAGTTTTCCAAAAGATAGTTAGGACCGTTACTGTCGAAGTAGTAGATTACCTCGCAGATTTCCACGAACGAGAGAAAAGAGCTTGGTAGTTTACTATTTCACTAGGATATCTGAATTTCCCGCGATTATTATTATTATTATTATCATTATTATTATTACCGTTTATTCACGGATATTCGATTCAAGCAAGACCAACGACTACAATGTCCTTCATGACCGACCCAGACAGTGCTGGTGATCGACTCACTGATCAAGCCTCTCCTTCACCCCTTTTAAACACCACAGATGGAGCCCGACGGGGGGGGGCTTTCAATTCGATTCCAGCACGGCCCACGATCTTCTCAGGCCAAGGTGCTGAGGACTATGTAGCACGATTCGAAGCCTACGCAACCAGCTTCGATTTACCGAAGGACTCCTGGGGTCGACACCTCATGAGTTATTTGAAGAAGAAGGAACACTTCTTGATGATGGCCAGCATCACGACCGACCAGCTAAAGGACTGGGCCATCGTTAAGGAGGTGTTCACCAATCTCTTTCCATCCCTGGAGCCGACCTACTCAGAAGCGGAGATGGCAGAAGCAGTTCTTGCAGTTCCGATGGACTGTGAGCAACCCCTGCCATACTTGTTCAAGGCCAAGGTCGCTCTACAAGGAGTATCGCAATGGTCGGACAGCCAGCGCTCAATCAAGCTACTGCGCTATATTGGTAGCAACTGGGCACGTGACATCAAGGACCTCGTTTGCGGAAATGAGAGCTTTGAGATGCTCTACAAGATCATCGTCAAATATGCCTCCCAGCAAGTCAAGAAGGGCGAGTGGTATGAGCAGGCATTCGCCGACAGTTCCCGGACGGAAGGTTCAGAAGCAGCAGCGAAGAGCAAAACAGACAAGTCTCCAGTGCCAAAGACACATCACCAGGAGTCGCATGCAGGTGACATCCTTGGCGAACTGACGGAGAAGTTCGAAAAAATGATGATAAATATTGTCCAGAAACACAGGGGACATGCAGCAGATGTGAACGCGGCAACCCAAGTTTCCCGACCTCGAGCACAGCAATGCTTCTACTGTGGCAAGGAAGGGCACAGGATGCTGGGATGCGATTATCGGGCACAAGATGAGAAGGATGGGCTGATCAAGTTTATCAACGGCTTCTGTTGTGATATCAACGGCCAACCGCTGCGTCGTTCTCTCAACGAAGGGTTTATGGCATCAGTCAAGAGGCCTACCATGGCAGTCGGCACTGTCAACGATATTCGAGTAGCCCAAATTTTTGAGGAGGACAAGCTAGAGGATGAGCACGAGGATCGCAGGGACGACGACCAAGAGGAGGAGCAGTATCATGTCGATGCCGGAAAGCGTGTTCGGGACCTTACGCAGGATGATATCAATGCCCTGGTTCTACAAGATAAGCGGCGCCGCCAAGCACCCAAAGGCATGGAGTTTCAACCGAATGTAGCTCAAGCTAAAGCTGCATCTGCTCACCCGAAGTCTGCTACTCCCTTCGGGCCATCGACCACTAGCGTGACAGAACAACGTCAGACTGAGACGACTAACCAAGACGCAGTAATGACAGAGCCAGTAGCAGCGAGTGATGCCCACAAGCGGGACCCACCAGCATATCGTGTACGGGCACAGGCCGAATTGCCACCGTTGAAGTCGACACCTGAGAAAGCATTGCAGAGTGCAAACGTCACGATTCCTATGATGGAATTCTTGGGTATGAGTAATGAGGCACGGGACTATCTACGCCAGGTGCTTACTCGTCGTCGTGTTCTAGGACCAACAGACTTGCCGAAAGTCAATGCCGCCATAGCCGAACCAATGAATATAAGGCCAAGACAGGGCGCGAGAACTTCATGCAAGATTATGCAAGTATGGGGCTCTGTGCGTAACACGCCAGTAGGAATCGTCATTGACCCTGGGTCAGAGCTAAACATCGCGAACACGGAGTGGTTACAAGGTTTGAATGTACCCATCACTTCACGTCAGAATGCTGTGATGGTCGGCATTACGAATCATACGCAGAAGGGATCAGGTATGGCGCATCGGATGGACGTGACTATTGGAGCAGTAACTATTCCGGTAAACGTTTTGGCGCTCGACAACTTCAAGTACCATCTGCTATTGGGACTGCCATTTTTGGAACAAGCAGACTGGCAGGTCAAGAAGGCGTCAGATGGCACTCGACACTACCATATTTCAGATGGGGTAGCTGAGGTAAGATTTGCAACAGCAGAGAAGCCGAATCCTCAATACCAAACGCATGCAGCCAGTGCGATAGACAAGAAAATCGACGAAATCCCAGATGGCGAATTCATTTGCAACCTGACTTCATTGGGCAGCGAATGGGCGATGAATGCTGCACGATACAAGCCAGTCGCAAAGAAGATACATCCGGTAAACCAGCCACTGCGACCTGAGGATCAACTCGCTGAAACAGAGAGGCCCGACCAGCTGACTAGGCAGACGAAGCGCTTGACAGAGGAGCGTTTAGGTCAGTTGCAGATTGGGGATGGTTGGCTCACTCCCGTCGAGCAGGATTACTTTCGAGAGCGACTACAGGAAGTGGACAAGGCATTCGCTTTCAATGACGAGGAAATGGGACTACTGAAGGAGTCCATTGAACCACCGATTCGTATCCCGACAGTGCCACATGAACCATGGGACCACAAGCCATTCCCTATGCCACGAGCCCTGTACGATAGGATCGTGGGGATGCTCAAGGAAAAACGCACTACTGGGGTATTGGAACCATCTATCGGACCATATGCAAACCGCTGGTTCGTAATCGAGAAAAAGGACAAGACGAAGCTGCGTTTTATTCAAGACGTTCGCCCTGTTAACGCGGTGACTGTGCGAAACAGCGGGAAGCCTCCGAATGCAGATGAAATCACTGAAGATGCATCCGGAAGAGTGTTGATGACCATTTTCGACCTCTACTCTGGATACGATCAGCTGCCAATTGACCGACGTGACCGTGATCTTTTTGCACTACACACTCCTCTGGGGCTGATGAGGATGACACGGCTACCAATGGGCTGGACAAATTCTGTGGGTATATTCCAGCGGGTTATGCACAAGATCTTTGCGCAATGGATGCCTGAGAAAGTGCGTATCTTCATGGACGACGGTGTTATTCTTGGACGAAAAGTTGGTACGATTGCAGATATGGATCGTAAAGATGAGGACGGAGTTCGACTAGTGGTCAAGGAACATGTGGACGATGTTCTAGCCGTTTTTGGGACGATGGTAGATGCCGGACTCACCGTCAGTGGGAAGAAGACACACTTTGGTGTTACCAATGCAGAGATTCTGGGACACGAGTGTACGCAGCAGGGACGACGCCCGACTCATAGTGCAGTCACAAAGATTAGCGATTGGCGACGACCGGCGAACCAGACAGATGTACGGAGCTTTACGGCCGCAGTCTCGTTCTTCAGGATCTGGATTCCGCAGTTTTCAGTCCAAGCTGCGCCCTTGTTTGAGCTCCTACGAAAGGATACCGAGTTTCACTGGGGCCCAATGCAAGAGGAGGCTTTTGCAGCACTGAAGAATGCGCTATCGTCAGCTCCTCTCCTACGTGCCCCGGACTACTCTTCTGGAGACCGACCTCTGATTGTGACGACCGATGCAAGCCCAGTCGGAGCCGGTGCAATGCTTAGTCAGTACGACACACTTGGGAATCGCTACGCCATCCGTTTCGAAAGCCAGAAGTTTAATGATCGCGAACGCCGATATCCGCAGGTGAAGAGGGAACTATACGCAGTTTATTCGATGGTCAAGAAGTTACGTCATTATCTCTATGGAGTCCGGTTTGTGCTAGAGACAGACGCTAAGCCAGTGGTCGCAATGATCAACAAGCCAGATCTGCCAAATGATACAGCTTCCAGATGGGTCGCATTTCTGAATCTCTTCGATTTCTCGATTGGACACATCCGTGGACAAGACAACATGGTGGCTGACGCGCTGAGTCGCACATTCTTCAATATCGACAGTACGCGGATTAGTGAGCTTGAGGAAGAAGTATCACCAGCAGTCATCGACGATTCGGAGGATCTATGCTTAGGACTTGACACGGTTAACCAGCTGAACATACGCAGCCAAGATCCAAGATCCGAATGGACAGATCTCATCATGCTTCTGACAACGGGAAACACCCCAGTTGGGCTCCCGCATGAAGCAGCGAAGCGACTAGTAAGCAAGTCACGGGGGTACTTCATCGACAAAGGTCTACTCTTCAAGCGCCACAAGATGGGCCTACCCCGACGCGTGATTGCAGACAAGACCGAGCAGCAGCGGATTACTGAGCGAGTGCATGATTCACACCCTACAGGACATCGCGGGGTACGAGCAACATTCCGAGTGTTATTTGAGCGATTCTACTGGAGAGGTATGTATGAGATGGTCGAGAATGTCTGTCGGTCATGTCCAGTATGTCAAGGCTGGAAGCATGGCACCTCGACGGAGCCGTTAACCCCACACCTTGGTTCGACACTATTCTCTCGCATTGGTATCGATCTCGTCGAGTGGCCCGAAGCAGAGGACGGCAGCGTTTACCTCGCAGTAGCCCGAGACGACTTGACTGGATGGGTAGAAGCTCGAGCGCTGAAGACGAAGCGTTCGATTGAGGTGTATCGGTTTCTGTACGAAGACGTGGTGTGTCGATTCGGAGTGCCTGGAGAAATACTCGCCGACCGTGGGGAACTATGGGGCCACATTGCTGAACAAGCCCAACAAGATGGCCTCAACCTCAAGTTCACTACTGCCTACCATCCGCAGACAAATGGTATGATCGAGCGAGGACATGCGGAGCTACGAAAGGCTATGGCACGGTTCATTACTCCCGAACGACAAAGATACTGGCCACAATATGTGTCGGCAATACTTTGGGCTGACCGGATCACAGTAAGGTCGACGACAGGTCATTCGCCCTATTATCTCGTATATGGGACGAACTGCGTTTTGCCGTTTGATATCGAAGAGGACACATGGATCGGTATTTATTGGGATAAGATCACGACGATTGAGGAGCTTCTGACTGCGCGTGCCGCTCAGCTTCTCTATAGCAGCAGAGTCCGCGAAAAGGCAGGGTTAGGTCTGGACGATGCTCGCCTGGTAAACAAGGTTTATTATGACCGTCGCGCTCGTATCCGTAAAGAACCATTAGCAGAAGATGATCTGGTGCTACTTTCCAATACTCGTTGGCGCAAGCGTGTTGCTGATAAGTTCGTGAACCGTTGGACTGGGCCCTATCGTATCGCAGAGGTGTGCGGCCAGAATGTTTACCGCATTAAGGAACTCTCGGGAGATGTTCGCAAGGACAAGATCTCAGGGAATAGGCTCAAGCGGTTCTTCATGCGGTCGAAGTATTCTCGTCCTGAGGACTTCGAGCCACCCCCGGCCCCTGTCATGTCGTAATCGGTCCACGGTTGGACCACGACAATGGTTACACATCAAGGGGTTTTATTTGTCTTCCTTTTTTTCTTTTACTTCTCTTCTCTTCTTCGTCACATGCCGCTGTTCCGCTATCAGGACGGACTGCCCCTGACTATCGCCGGTCAAGTTGTCGCCCACGAATGGATTCGCGGCGATGTACCTGGCTCGCGACGTCCACCAACAGATGGCCGCTGATGTGTATACATCGGGTCTATACGGAAATGGGAACACTGTCCCGTGGTCGCCCGGCAGCCGATAGCAGCAAGTAGCATACTCCGTTTGCCGAAGTCCATCCCGCCGAACGTGTATAAATACAGCCATGAGCAGTGAGCAACTTTTAGTTTTATTGTCTACTTTTTAGTATATGATCTCGTTAAGGAACAGTTCACTGAGTTATATTTCTATTTAGTTTTCCAAAAGATAGTTAGGACCGTTACTGTCGAAGTAGTAGATTACCTCGCAGATTTCCACGAACGAGAGAAAAGAGCTTGGTAGTTTACTATTTCACTAGGATATCTGAATTTCCCGCGATTATTATTATTATTATTATCATTATTATTATTACCGTTTATTCACGGATATTCGATTCAAGCAAGACCAACGACTACAATGTCCTTCATGACCGACCCAGACAGTGCTGGTGATCGACTCACTGATCAAGCCTCTCCTTCACCCCTTTTAAACACCACAACTTGCGGTCAAGAAATAGCATACACAATAATCCTTGAATGTAGTCCTTTTGAGTTCTTTGATATTCACTAGCACTTTGCTCTTTTTCACTACTGCTTACACATACCTTCACTTGTACATGTATACACGCTATTAAATGGGCTGATTAGGGCTGCTGTGCTGTCGAGGTTTCTCTAGTTCACTGCTGTTTGATGATATATCGGACATATTCATCAATATCCTGCTGCATGCTGAAGCATTGAGTACAAAGGCTATCTGTTGGACACTAGTCAATGGACTATACAGTTAGTTCTAAATCGGCAAGCTACTGTGTTCGGAAAATCCTGACTTGGCGACTCACCACCTATGTGGCGCTAAACTCTTCCTTGAAAGAACACTTCTTTTTCTTTACTTTTGATCTTTATCGGTTTAGCCGCTTAGTATTTCCCCATTTCTTATTTATAAAACTTTGCGTATAACACCTCAGTTTACTTTACTATCCCCACCATGCTGCCGATATTCGTATGGTACACATAATTAAATAGTAGCTTATGTCTCAGTTTCTGCTACTGCATGCATACTCGTATAAAATGTTTTATTAAGAAAACAACTAATTTCTCAGAATGCCAAGTTGCGCGGCCTTGGTAATTTGTTTAGTGATAGCTCCAATAGATCACCTGCATGACCTTATTTCGGTACTTATTCATGAAATTCGAAGGAACAAGTAAAAATTCAAGAAAATGTTTCGTTACGGAAGTCAATCTTGGTGTTGCTCTGCTTGCGCAGAATGCTATCCCACTTGTGTGCCTCGCGCCTGACTTTGCGTGCCATGGGCTTTGGTCCGCAGAAGAATGTACCAATGCGTTGTCCGGGGTGAAGCTCACCAATCGACTCAAAGATCTCGCTGAAGTCGGGACGCCCAATATACGATCTAGTTCCAATCGACGTGTTGATGACCTGGTTGCCGAACTTGTCGTCAGGGGGCGTAAGCTGCGGGAAGCGTGTCTCGGGGATCTTTCCGGTGAAGTATGTGCGCACCTGGACGATTGAGCTCAGTCCTTCCTCATCAAGAGCCACCAGAAGGTCCTTGAACCACTCCAGTGTGCCGATGTCGCGGTATACCCAGAACAGGTAGACTTTCTTCGTGTTCATTGCGTATTGGTCGCGGATCCACTGGAAGTACACGCTGCGGAGGACCGATGCGGCGGGGGTGACTCCGATACCAGCGGCGATGAGCACACCGACCTCGTAGTTGAAAAAGTGTTCCATTGGTCCAGTGTATGGACCGTCGATGTACAGTAACGGCATTTCACGACCCATCTTGATGGCCATGTTGCCTTCTTCAATTTTTGCCGAGGCTGATACGCTGTTGCCATTTATCTGGTCTATCTTGTGCATAGAGATCTTGGCCACCTCCTTTTCATCAGCACACAGTACCATGCTGTTGCGGATGGACTTGGTACCACCCTTAGCAACCATGTCGATGCCCACATAAGAACTGTTGCCGCCGGCATTCGAATACATCGGGGCAGTTGTAGGATCGTGGTGCAGCGGGTGGTAGGGAACATCGAGGTGTTGCGACGTGGGACGCGGTCTCTCTGCCTTTGCAAACTTGATTCCTTTAACCCTGTCGGCCTTGGAAACGATACTCTGCCTACTAGAACCGCGAACATCGTTACCAAAGTTGCAGCCGAGACGCTTGGCCAGGTTGCGAG